CGGTTTTCGAGTTGAACGGTTCGATTGTCCAGCTCGAATGGATGCTCAAATTAATGGCTTTTGGCCTAAAAACGGTTTTAAGGTAAATGCAACCGATTTCTTAACCAATTCACAGATCAACCGGTCAGACAGTCCGGTTCTACAATTTTCTTTTGTTTCTTTTGTGTGGGCAGCCATAGTCCATAGAGATAGAGCCATAGAGGGTTGGTTTTAATTAAGCTTTTATTTGAACATTTCAACATATTATTTATGCAAGATTTGCTTAACAGTTGACTCCTTTATTAATCTCCAACTAAACGTTGATGCACCCCTACTACTGTAATAGTACACGGCACACCGGGACTTGGTAATAATGGTTCTCCTCTACGTAAGCATCACTAATTGGAGCAGTTGACTTTTTCCACTCCGATCTGCTGGGCCATGTTTTATAGCAAAATTGGTGCTTCCATTGATCCATATCCCAACCAGATTCACAAACCCACGACGTCATCATTTCACCAACATCCCCTTTCGCAAACCCACGACGTTATCAATTAATTTTCTCAAAACAGAAAAAAATGACAAAATATGATAAAAAAGGAAATTACATTTTGGGGCGTTTTTTTTTTGATTTTGAGAGGGGGAAAAATTGGTATATCTTATTTTAGTTTCCATTAATCAAGAATCCTATATTATTTTTTCAGATTTATGTGGGGATCAGGAAAAATTTATTTTCTTTGGTATCACTTACCCCGGTACCCAAGTCTTAGGTGGGTAAATAACTTTCTCACTTGGGGGAAAATTTTCAACACTTGAAGGGGACAAAAATGCCCCTTTTAATAATGAATATGGGTAAATGTAATGTTTTCAAAACTGGACCGGACCAGATGGTCAGACTGGAAAAACTAGGAACCGGTCCATTTTACCCCAGAACCATCTTTTGGCTAAAAACTACTAATTTGGTCAGCAAACCGCTGACTCAGGCAGTCAAACCATTCGAACTGTCCAACGGTTATTGGCCATTTTTATTTTTATTTTTTTTTAGAATGGGCCATCCACTCGATTCGAACGGTTGAATTGTTTGACCCAGGAACCAGACCCCTGAACGGTTTGTTTTCAAAAACCTTGGGTAAATGTACTTACTCAAGTAAGTATTTCCTAGAAAAAACTTGCCCAAACAATTGTATTTACTCAAGTAATTTACCGAAAAGCGAACGAAACCTTTATATATCTCGAATTCACAATTCCCACTAATAACTTCTCTAGTGAACTTCTCTCTCTCTCTCACACACACAATTTCACAAAGATGAAGAGACATGCCTGACAATCAATCTACCATAGAATGATTGTTGGGGACTTAAGGAGAGCTGAGCTTGGTAGGAAATCATGAGTACAAGAGTCAGGAAGCACCGAAGCAATGGTTATCAATGTTTCAAAAAACGAAGCGGAACCAGAACTGGAACGGGTCGACAGTTTGACTATCCGATTCAAATGGACAACCCATTTTGATAAAAAATTAAAATGAAAATTGCCCTAAAACTATTGAATCAGTTATTTGGACGGTTCCAAGGCCGAACGGTTTTCCTGTCTGGGCCAATGGCGGTTCAAAAACCATGGTGATGATGAATGGATTGATTATAACAAAAAAATTATTGACACTAAAAGTCAAATGGATGCATGAGGAGCAGCAGGGAAAACGTTCTGTAACTGAAGGTCAAGGATTCCCAACTTCAGTTGGTTAGAATTACAAATTCAAAGTTGGTTAGATATCATCACCCCTTTTTTGTTTTCTTTTTGATCTTGAGGGGGATTTTGGTTTCCATTTATCAAGATATCTATTTCTTTTTTAAGATCTGTGAGGTTCATGAAAAATTTATTTTCACATGGGTAATAAACTTATGGGAATAAGTAACTTTCCAAAAAGCGAATGATCCCGATGCAAACTAAATGCCAAAAAGTGATTCCTTCTCATCTTTGAGTTCATTGTAATTCCAGCTAGTGATCTAGAACTCGAACTAAAAAGCATGGTTTTTAAAAATGAACCATGGACCGAATCAGTTAGGGGTCCGGTTACTGGTTCAAACAGTCCGACCATTCGACCTGAACGGCCGACCCGTTTTGATAAAAAAATAAAAAAATTAAATAAATTGGAAAACGGTCAAAACCGTTCGGACAGTTCGAACAGTTAATTGGCCGGTTCAGCGGTTTGCTGACCAAAATCAACGGTTTTGGGGAAAAAAGCGATTTTGGGGAAAAACGAACCGATGAGGTGACCAGTTCCCAATTTTTTCGGTCCGACCGTCTAGTCCGACCATCTAGTCCGACCTGGTTTTGAAAACCATGCTAAAAAGGTTAGAATGCCAAATAATTATTATAGAAAAAAAAAGTGAATGGGACAGGTATGGATGGGGACTGGTATTATTCTAAACCCAACCCTCCTTGACCCACATATTGTTGGAAGTCATAAACTTATGTATTGGTGTCAAATTTAATAATATTTTGAATTTTATGCAAAGGATAATTGATAATATATTTGTTTTCTATATGTTCTAATCAATTAATTAGAAAATTAGATGTTGGTTTATTTTACTTTACTTGTTTATTGCTTAGATATAATAAGAAATAAGACCTAATTCATTTTTCACGAAATCATTTACTTGGTCAAATGCATTTATCTTGGCAATATTTATTGAGAAACACTTGGATAAATGCCTTAATACTATTTTTTTTGTTTCCTAGGTAAAATTAAACAATAACTACTTTATCCATAAAAAGTGTCATTATTTAAGGGTCAATGTTGTCTCATCATGTGTTATTAATTTCCCCATAAATGGGTGAAGGATAATAATTACCCAAGTGATTAAGGCCCCGTTCACTTTTTGGTAAGTTACTTACCCTGGTAAATGCACTTACCCAGGTAAGTGTTTACCAGGAAAGACTTACTTGGGTAAGTGCATTTACCCATGTTTTTTTTTATTTCCCATGCAAACAAGACAATGACCATTTTAGCCATAAAAATCCACTATTACAAGGGGCATTTTTGTCCCATTCAAGTGTTGGCAACTTTTCCCCAAAGTGGGAAAGTTATTTACCCACCTAGGAGATGGGTATCACGTAAGTGATACCCAAGAAAATAAATTTTCCTTGGTCTCCACATAAATATGAAAAAGAAGATGGGATTCTTGGTCAATGAGAATCAAAATCTCGTTGACCAACTTTCCCCCCTCTCAAAATCCAGAAAAAGAACGCCCCCTAAGTTGTTTGGGAATCATTCTTTTTGGTGGGACACATTAATACTTAAACAAGCTCTGCTGACCAACTTATTTACCGAAAAAAAATGAACTGACCTAATAGTAAATTAGACATGGTTTCTACTTTCTAAGTCAACCTGTCAACCCAACTTGACTCACCCTCAAACTCAAATATAGAGAGAATAGGACTGAAGTAGACTTTGCATTTTCGTGTGGAAGAAGAATTTAGAAAATCCAACATATGCTAGGACAATGATGAGAAAAGTATTAAGAAGTCTAGAGATGTGAGGAGTCTGCATTTCCAATCCACTACAATTCTACCCAAATAACATCTTAGCCAAACATGGGAAACATCCCATGCTCTGACATGTTATATTATGCATTGGAGATGTTCCCAATTCAAGGAGGTAGGAGATCCGGCGGGAGTCAGATATGGGTAGGGTCTAGATTCTAGAATTTACAAAAATCCCTGCTATCAGCAATGTTTAAGGATATCAATGAGTCTAGATCTACAAGCTTTGGGTTGCAGGTATAATGTCTTGGTAACGTTTAAACGTTGCCGGTGGGGAGATTTGTGGAATCTACACGTGTCCACGAGCTAGATATATGGGACCAATATATAATTGGGTTTTTTATAGTTTAATTCACTCCTAGGATGGAGTTAAGATTTTTATGAGTGGACTGAATCCTACCCATGGATTGATATCAAATTCGTGGGCAGCAGATTCCTACTCGCACCTTTCCTTTCTGTTCCTACTTTAATATGGAGATCAAATCAGCCCCCCACAAGATTGTCCCCCACAGCATCCCACAACACATCCCTGCCGTATATTAGTAACATCTCCCGATGATTACATCATCATTTCTGATATTATTATCGATAGATATTTCCAATACACGACAGGGATCTGCTGTGAGACGTTGTAGGGGCTGATTTGAACTCCTCAATATGAGGCGTTAGTGGAAACTACACGTGACGACTGTAATTTTTTAGGGAGAATGATTGATCAGTCCAGATCAGAGTTTTGTCGCCCCACACAAGGGGATGAATCTTGACCATGAATTAATGTCAAATTCACGAGCAGGATACTATTTATAGGGGAAGCTATTAATAAATTATGGGAAGCTGTCATTCAGAATTCTACATTGGATTGCAGATTACTAGAGAAAGAATTAGCTCATCAAGTAATAATTTATCAGTCATACTCTCCATGCATCATCTACCTTCAATTACCCAACCTTCCTTTCTTGCACCTTCTGCTTCACGAGATGAGAGTTCATGGCTCCTCATCTTTTCATCTTCTATTAATCGTATATATATATATATATATGCATAAACCGCGTTTCTTCACGTTAAAAGCTAAAACCCAAAAATATATAAGAAAGAAAAATACGAAAGAAAATCATAATGTGGGTCTTGCTTGAATCCTGATCCGCATGCACACACAGATTCCAAATGATTTTTCTTTTTTTCTTTTCAACAGAAGGATAAGAAGCTGACATCACATCCCTGTCACCTTCCATTCTAAAACTGACCTGTAAGGTTGAAGCCACTTTTATAATTTATATATTGCCATCTTTTAAGCTAAGTTATATAAGAAAAGAGATTAATTAAAGATGCGTTAATTAAACCACCGGAAGGTCTTTAACCGGTCGAAAAACTAGTCTTCTGATGACCAATTCATGGAGATTTATGTATGAATCAGGGATTGAGGGTCATCAGCTGTAAGTGTAATTAATAAGTCAAATAAACATAAAGGGACAAAACTCTGATCTCTAACTCTCACGGTGTGTGTTTGTATAATATTATTAATTAATTTCTAGGTACATATGATATAAACACCAAGTTACAGATACCAACATCACGTAACAACATAGATGATCGTCAAATCAACTCAACATGGATGCTTCTTTGTCTCCTCCGGCCAGGACATAAATTGCCGACTCCGCTCTGTATTGAGATTAAAGAGAGAAAGACAGAAAGAGAGAAAAACGATCGACTATCGAAATGGGAAAACCATGCATCGACCATCGTAGTCACATATACCTAGAGCAGATATAGGTTTTCTCTACATTAAAATTGCGTAGCGCATGCTGTCGCTTACCATGAGATGATTCAGCTCGGATATACGAGCAAACTCACCGGAAACCCAGACACCATCAGCGCCATTTACATGAGGGTTAGAGATGCAAGACAGAAAGGAGAGAGGTGCTCGAACAATGTTACAAAGAACGGACAACCCGTTCCATCCACGCCGTCTGCGCTCCACATCGTGAGCAAACATGGGGAACTGAGCTCCGTCTCCACCTCCGAGCACGCTCTCATCGGCGACTCGTGCGCTGGTCCTGATATTCTGAAGGTTCTGCTTCATGGCGGCCAACAAGCGCCACATCTTGCTGGCTGGTCTTATAGAATGGAAGGGTGGAGGGTCTTGATGAGGTTGAGGAAATTGAACAAGGGCGCGCAACTGGTTCTGGTAGCGGAGAGATGAAGGTTAGGGCCTCGCTATCCCACCTTTCTAGCTATAAGGTGGGGGGGCTTTTGATAATGGCGTATTGCTGGGTGCTGGGTGCTGGGTGCTGGGTGCTGGTGCTGGTGCTGGTGTTGGTGTTTATCACACAAAGGTCGTCATCGCTCACTTTTTCAGTGGCCTGGCGTTTGTTTTCTATGCTTGTGGGGTCTCTTTTAAAAGCCACTCGCCGACAAACCGGCCTAATTTTGCACAATTACTTGAACCAGCTCTTCTCTGCAGTTTATCTTATCATCGACTCCTTTGGGCGTACACCGAGGAATGGGTCTTCTCAAGGTTTTTAAAACCGACCCGAACAACGAATCGTTCAGGGTCCGGTTCCCGGGTCAAACAGTCCATCTGATCATTTGAACCGAATGATCAATCCGTTCTAACAAAATAATAAAAAAATTAAAAATGGTTAAAACCGTTGAACGATTTAAACACCCAAATCAACGGTTTACTGAATCAACATTTTTTTGACAAAAATTTGATTTTGAGAAACCGATTCCTAGTTTTTCCGGTCTGACCATCCAGTCCTTCCAATTTTTAAAACCATGGATCTTCTTGAGTGATTTCGAGCCACCAGCCCAGCTACTAGATGGGCCGTCTACCTCTCTCATCATCTCTTGAATCTTGATCACGTCCAGAGTGCAGTCAATTATTTCCCCAAGCTAGTCATGTTTGATATATATTTGTTATGGCTTATGGTAAAAGAGAAAACTTGGGGCGTTTCCATCTTTTTAACACACATGCTTTCTATCTCGTAATTAGAGATTATGTTCTGGTGCCCGTCCTAAATCCAGTACATAAATAATAAAAAAAAAAGGCGAGGGGGGGGGGGGATATGCCCGAATATGTATCCACCTATTTAGAGGGCGTTCGTCAGTGGTTTTTGAAAAACAGAAGCAATTGTTATATTGGGCAATTGTTTAAATTTTTACTTTGTTGATGTGCCAACTCTTTGTTTTTAAAGGAAAAAAATCATACATATTGGCAGCTGGCAGAGTTCTTTTTGTAGATCTCTAGTAATACACTTTGTTGTGGGTTTGAGTATTCCGTTTAATAATTGGATTCATTATTCAATGGGCTGGTTGTAAGATCCAGTTGGAAGAATGAGGTGATACATTGAGCAGAATCTGTAATCAATGTTCTTTAACCGCTGTTGATTCAGATGGTTAGACCGTTTCGCCTAAAAATCATTGAAGCAACAGGTTTTGTTTTACTTCAAAGTTGGTTTTTAACAAAAAACCGTTAAATTGGTCAATAATTTATTAACCTGAGTGGTTGAACTGTTGATCCGTTCAATGGATTTTAACTATTTTATTTTTATTATTTTTTAATTTTATTATTAAGACGGGCCATTCATTCAAACCAGATAGTGGAATCAACAACCCAAAAACCAGTAGTCAGAACGATTCTGATTCTGGGTCATGTGTGCCCAGAAAAGACACTGCATCAAATATAAGTCCCGCACCCAACTAATTCATGCTTCTTGTTTTCCATGAAACAGGCCGAATCAGTATTCAATCAATAGTGGAAACAGCCAAACCAAACTGGGTTTTCACTTTTGAAGCCAATAGCTTTTGTACTTGCACACAGTTACTGGAGGAGGGCTACCCCCCAGCCTTGTGTAGCCTGTTTCTCCGTCCTCATGATATTAATAATACCCAAAAAAGAAGAATGTATTTGTCCTGTTTAAACTAATAAATCATATTAATTTCCTTTGAAGGGAATGGAATGGAAGTACCTGGTGAATATATATGCGTTACTATTTATTATATTCAACAACTTAAACATGTTAGTGCAGCACCTAGAGAGTAAAAAGACAACAGACACTACACAGCTCGCTAATGAAAGTTAAGTTTGAGTCAGTGAGTCAGTGAGTCAATCAATCAATGTTGCTATTACCCTATCTCCTTGCTCAATAGTGTTAAAAAAGGCAACAGAGAGTCAGCGACCATTGGAGAGGCCTAAACATATGGGATTGGAGAGAGTGGACAAGCGTAGAGGGTCAAATTAAGTCAATGTGATCCAAACACAAACTCAAAAAGCACTAAAGCGATCGAATATATGTAGTAAGGGAATTAGAATTACTTGGCAATATGAATGTGGAGTGGAGATGGTGTAGACAGAGGCTTGATAGAATGATAGTTGGTACTTGGTAGTGTATTAATTAGTCCCACTAAAGGAACAGGATAAGTATATATATGAGTCAGTGCGTGGAACACAATCTTGGCAAGCTATATGGGCTTCACATTATGCGTTTATGACCCGCAAATCTCACAGTCCCAACAAGTCAGCGCAGTGAAGCTATTGCAAGTCAATTCTCCACCTCCACTTAATCCTCCAGTGGTGACGTTGTCATCATTCACCCATTATATCACACACACACAGAGAGAGAGAGATCTGGATTGGCCAAATGTTACATCATTTGTTTAGTGATATTATTGTGGTTCTGGCCTTTCTGGGGTCATATATATGAAACCACTGTAAAGTAATAATAATATATAAGAAAATTCCACCATTGTTGTGATGTCTGAAAGTTTGAATTAATCCTCCACTTTGTCCCCGAAGATAATCAACTGGTATTGATAGTGAATTCCATTAACCAAGACCCCTTAACAATTTAGTCCTTGATTCCTTATTTCCTTATATCTGTTATGTCAATTCTCAATACCATCTCATCCATATAGTGAATTCACCAAATACACACCCTCTACTATAACACCCCAATGCAAAACATATATAGAAATTATTCCAGTCTGAAACTCAGGCCATAGAATCAATAAAATTTTTTTCCCCTTCTTGATGGCAAATGAATGAATAATTAGCTTGATGGGGACATACGAGATCCAGATTCCAGCAGACCCATTGGAGGAGAGAGCTCCAATCCATGAAGAATGTAAGCAAACAACTCAGAGGAACAAAGTAAGGGGTTTCTTCTAGTTTTCTCCATCTACCCTTCTTGCTTATGGATCATATTTGTACCAACAATCATTAATTGGAGTTGGTCTACAATTCCCCGCACAGCCTCTCATTAATTTTATCTCCTTATGTTAATTTATCAATTTCCAGATGAAAACCAAATTGGCACAAACTTAAGAGTTAAGACGTCGAATTCTCAAGTTATTAACTGGTCCATAGGAAGCTTCTCGTATTGTCTGGTAGTAGCATTATCTATATAAAAATATATACACAACGACTAGTACTGTAATTTGATGGGATAAGCAGAGCATTCCTTGAATTCACTTAATCGAACAGAAATAACCTTTCTGAAATAGATATAGGAACTGGTTTCTTTGGTTTTTGTTCCACAAGATATATAGTTCATCTTTGGAACGGGTTAGATCACGATTGAGAACAAGAGACTTAAAGAATAGTAGGAACCGATGATAATTTAATTGGGTTCGGTCCTGAATCTTATTTATAGTTGAAGAGTTTATATTACACTCAGATTCTTGGGGAAGTAGGATTACAATGAAAGACTAACAGATAGAGAACACAAGAAGACAAGATAAGATAAAACTCATGAACTGGATAGAATCCAGATCTAGGTAGACTCCAGCTGATCATGGAGTCTTGCACTCCGTGTATTTTCTATCACGCCCCCTTCAAGTGAGCGGTTGTTCAGAACGTGAAGCTTGAGCTCGAACTATTGAAACTGTGAACCACTCAACGGCTTGGTAAGAACATCAGCTATTTGATCACCAGAAGATACAAACTGCACTTCAATTTTCTTGCCAGTTACTAGGTCCCTTAGAAAGTGAAAATCAATCTCTACATGTCATGTTCTGGCATGAAAGATGGGATTGGAGGCCAAAAATGTTGCACCAATGTTGTCACACCAGATTACCGGTGGCTGAGATAACTGAATTCCCAGGTCATCAAGTAAAGCCTTAAGCCATAGAATTTCAGTGGCTGTATTGGCACATGCCCGAAACATGGATCGGTACTTGAGTGTGCCACAATTGCTTGTTTCTTAGATCTCCACACAATAAGATTGTGTGATCTAAGAATATTGTATATCCTTTGGTGGACCTTCTATCATCTGGGCACCCAGCCCAATTAGCGTCTGAAAATGCTTGTAGGGAAAGTGGGCCTTGTGTGGAAGCAAAGAAGAGCCCATGATCAATAGTCCTTTTTAAATAGCGCAAAATACGCTTAACTGCAGTCCAATGTTCTGTGGATGGTGAATGAAGAAATTGACATACTCTGTTACTGAAAATGCAATGTCGGGTCTAATGATGGTCACATATTGTAGCGCCCCTACAACGCTTCGATACTCAGTGGGGTCTGTAAGAGATGTGCCACCTATCTTTGATAGCTTGCAGCTTGGGGCCATTGGGGAAGAGATGGGCTTGGCATGAAGCATGTGGGCTCTTTATAACAAATTCATAATATAACTTCTTTGGGACAAGATTGGCCCACCTTTTTGTTGAATGAACTCCATGCCTAAAAAGTAACAAGCTGGTCCCAAATCCTTTAGTGAAAAAGTTGCAAGAAGGGTGGAGATAATACTGTTCACAACTTGAGACACATTTCCAGTTATGAGTATGTCATTCACATATATGAGCATGTAAATTCTTACCTTTCCCTTAGAATAAATAAATAAAAATGGATATGATTTGGAGCCTCAAAAACCAAGAGTAAGTAAATGAGAAGTAAGACATGCATACCAGGCCCGTGGTGCTTGTTGAAGCCCATACAAGACTTTGGTAAGCTTGCAAACATGGAAACGATATTCTGGGTGTTCAAACACCTCGGGTTGCCAGACAAAAATTTCTTTTTCAATGTATCCATTCAAGAAGGCATTATCAAAATCTAGTTGACGAGAACACCACTGTTGAGAGACGGCAAGAGAAAGCAAAGTACGAATGGTTACTGGTTTTGCAACTGGGCTGAAAGTGTCACAAAAATCTACTCTAGCAACTTGGGAGAATCCTTGGGCTACTAAACGGGCCTTGTACTGTTCTATTGACCCATCTGCCTTCCTCTTTATTTTATAGACCCATTTGGTTCCTATAGTGTTCATATTGGGCCGTTTAGGAACTAGGGTTCATATTTTATTAT